TGACTGCCCCCCCCGGACTCCCCTTACCATTCTGGCTCCACGTGTTTGCAAAACACGCTGCCCGGTGGGTCGGTTTGTGTGTTACACAGGGCTGCAGACAGAGGGAGGGGGGAGCAGGGGAGGACTCTGGCTGCTGGAGGCCAATGGGAGTGGCTCAATTGGCCCAGCCGCCCAATCAGCAGCCACACTCTGCATGGAAGGGAGGGAGGGAGGCGAGGGAGAAAAAAACCCTGAACATTTTAACCTTGTTACCAATTCCTCCCGGGCGGCTATTTAGAGACGCAAAAGCCGGACATGTCCAGGGAAATACGGACGGATGGTAGCCCTATTCTAGGGACTTTCTGCTGCTCCTGGTTGAGTGCAGGCTAGCTGCCCCAGGACAAGCCCGCTGGGGACCAAGGGTGTGTACTCCGCTTGCTAGTCTGTGCTATAGTCCATGCTGCCACATCTTCACTATTACCGTCACCCATGCTAGCCAGCTTAAAGCTACAATGCACTGAATCTAAATCATATCAATGCCGCCATTTGAATCAGGCTCATTAAAACGAAGGGGAGAATCTTGCCGTGTTTTTCTCGATACATTTAAACAAACAAGATTGCTCCTTCTCCCGTCCTTCCAGAAGTGGCCGAGCTACTGTGTTTATGCTCCATTCCCAGCCCAGGGCTAGACTGTGGCCCATCCTATAGACCCACCCAAGAGAGTAGGGGCAGCAAGGCACAGCGGGGAGAGCAGCCACCATGGGGCCGTGCTGTCCCTTCCCCTCTATGTGGAATAGGTATGGAAGGAGCAGGGAATGGGTGGATGGAGCCTGGGCTCTGCTTCAGCATGCCAGGGGAAGAAACGGCACCAGGACCAGGTACAGGGCTGGGATAGGATATTTCCTCTGCTGGAGCAGGAGAATAACCAAGAAGCCCTTGACAATCTGCTCCTAGGGCAGCACAGCTGGGTCATGCATGGGGCTTTTTGCAAACTCATAAATAACTGACCCCTCATTCTGAATCCAAATCAGCATAAGCATGAAACAAACGTTCACAATATGCTGGGAAGCTTTCCATTTCTGCTTTGCAATCAGCACTTTCCCCATCCACAAACACACGCAAACCACCAGCGTATATTTCTGAAATGTTATTCAGGCCAGAATCAGCTGGTCAGAGAAAGAGTAGCCTGGAACCAGCTGCGGGAAGGAGAAAGGGCAAAATAAATAAATAAATAAAAGATCAGAACCTGAACAGAATCTGAAACTAGAGTTTAAATGCATGTGTTAGACTGTACTTAAAATACAATAATGACGTGCTCCTTGCCAGGGCCGGCTTTAGGCCAATTCAACCAATTCCCCTGAATTGGGCCGCGCCCCTAAGAGGGCCCCGCACCCAAGCCCCGGTACAGTGTACCGGCGTGGCCCAGCTTTCCCAGGGGGCAATTTAAAGGGCCTGGGGCTCCCAACAGGGGCTGGAGCCCCAGGCCCTTTAAATAGCCCCAGAGCCCTGGGCTGCTGCTACTACCCCACTGGGGGAGGGAGGAGGAGGGGGTACTTACCGTACAGGGTAATCTGTACCCGCACCCTCTGCCCGCACCAGCCCCGCACCCCCTGCCCTACCCGCAGCCAGCCCCTGTCTTCAGCCAGCCCTGCACCTCCTGCCCGCAGCCAGCCCCTGCCGCACCCCCTGCCCTGCCTGCACCAGCCCCTCCGCCCTGCCGCTGCCTGCAGCCAGCCCCACACCCCCTGCCCACAGCCAGTCCCTGCCGCACCCCCTGCCCTGCCTGCACCAGCCCCTCCGCCCTGCCGCTGCCTGCAGCCAGCCCCACACCCCCTGCCCACAGCCAGTCCCTGCCGCACCCCCTGCCCTGCCTGCACCAGCCCCTCCGCCCTGCCGCTG